CCTAGAGTGCACTGGAAACCACCATGTGTCCACTTTAGCGATAGCTTCTGCCTAGCATCATGGGAAATGTAGTTCAGAACTAGGCAACAGTTCTGAACGTTCTTGCAAAGTTTAGGAATCTATTACACCATCCTCTAACCAAAAATAACCCTTAGATTTACCAATGGCTCCTTCACTTCCAGGTACCTCCAACCACCCTTTTCATTCTTCACAGGCCAGGCCTTCCACCTCTACTTTACCCAAAACTGCTCTCATCCCTTCCATTCCTTCCGACCAGACCCCTCTCCTATTGGTCCCTCCTAAAGATGTTCCTACACCAAGACTCCCCAAATCAGCCTCCCTTCAGAAATGGCCTCACCTTTGCTGACCCCTGCAGGAAGATGGGAGCTTGAAGGTGGGACTCTTTCCTCCTCTTCTTCCTCTTCAGCCTGTAGGGGCTCCACAAAGTAATCGTCTACTGGCTGTAGGAAGGATTCCTCCTCTTTCTCATCCTCATCCCCCTCTATTCTGCTCCCCGGGGGCCAGGACCGGGTGGAGGAGTCGCTGAGGGAGCAGAAGACACAAGGCTATAAGAACCTGGGTCCAGGCCCCAGGCTTCCAACTCCTGCCTCAAGAAGCCTTGGGATGGGCAGGGAAGATTCCCTCTCACTCACCCAACTTCTGTCCTAGATGGGTCAGGGGTCACTGGAGGGGGGCAGCACACATACTCCACACCTCGGAACCGATCCATGCCACAGGGCAAAAGCATGCCCGAGCCATGCAGGATGAGGCCCTGGGAGCTGCAGGCCTGTAGGAAGAGTGGGTCCAGATACCAGGATTGTGGGGTAGGAGAGGGTAAATGAGGGGTGCCTGGATGCCTGAGTGTTGGAGGCTGAAGGGGCTGGGAGCCTGAATTACTGGTTCTGTCCTGATGGGAAGAGGGGGCAGAGGCCCAGATTCTTGGGTTCTGCAGGAGGGGGGTGTTCTGGGTGTGAGGATGAATGTGCCAGGGTCCTGACCTCCTGTGCTTCCTGATGCCTCCGGGTTGAACTCTCGCACTGGTCCATGCGCTCCTGATGCAAGAACCGGCAGCCTTCGGGCACCAGCAGGGCCTCACTCACGAATTCACCCGCTGGGGAATGGGGGCACCAGAGTGAGATCCTCTCATAGCCACTAGCCTTACCCTCCTCAGAAGCCAGGTTAATTATCCTCAGAGGCTTCTCTACCCCCCTCAAGACTCAAGCATCTAGCTCTCTGTGACCCTTGAGACCAGGGCCCAGGATCTCCCCCTCAGACTCCCACCTTCATTTCCCTCCCCCAGCCTATGACTCACGCAGGCAGCGGAAAGGCACAACCTGGTGGTGAGGGTGGGTACAGCGGCCACCCTGGGCACCTCCGCACCAGCGCTCCATGGGGATGGCCTGTGCCGCCTGTTCCACACGTGCAATCTGCAGCTCCGGGTACATCTGTGGGCACCGGGTGGGGCAATCAACCCACTGTTAGAACCCAACCAGTCATGCTTCTCTTCTGGCCATGTCCCTTTTCAAGACGCCAGTGTTCATAAGGCATTCTTCTCCTTAGGCCCTGCTTCTTCATAAAATTCGTCTTAGATATCTAAGTCCGGTGGGCCCATTGGCCACGCCCCTAGTAACTCCCCCTTACCCCCCCCTCTTCCCCGCACCCCGCTATCCTTAGGCCTCTCCCCTTTACTTGGCCAGTTCCTTTTCAAAGGTCTCTCCATATACCCACAAACTCAATTTTTCTACGCCCACCTCTCTTCTGGTCACCTTGTCGCCCTTCCCCAATCAGGTTAATCTCTCCGTAGACTCCACCAACCTTTAAGTCTCGCTCTTTCCCCGTTAGACTTCTCAGTGTCCCTTCTCTTTGTAATAGCCCTTTCTTTCATAGCCACGCCTCCTAGCTTTCCACTTTTTAATTGGGCTCCACCCCTTTTCCTATCTTCTAGGTCCCTAAGGACTTTTTGTCAGACCAACCTCTCCTTTGGCCACGCCTCCCTATACACCTGCTCTTTAAGGAGCCCACCACTTCACTGGGTCACCTTCCTTAGCCGGACTTTGCACGGTTCTCCTCTTTCCTGACCTAGTTTCTCTCTTTTCTTTTTTGTTTTGTTTTGTGATCTTTTCTCAAAAACAGGTCCCGCCCTATCTAACTTCGCCTCTGGCCACGCCCCCTGGCTTCCTAGCCTTCTTAGATCCCTGGTCTCCTGGCCTTAGGAGTCTGGCTGGGAAACAAACAAACAAACAAACAAACAAACAAACAAACAAACAAACAAACAAACAAACAAACAAACAAACAAACAAACAAACAACAACAAACCCCACACCAGCCTGGCTAGACCGCGCCCCTCGCTGGCCGCCTTCGCCCCTCGCGGCGGCGCGCCCACCTGTCTGCAGTATTCCAGCGCGCGCTGCGGGTCCCGGAGACAGCGCCGCGAGAGCTGTGCGTCTGGTTCCCAGCGGCCCGTGCGCAGGTCCCGATGAAGGGCTGGGCGCCCGCATAGTCCAGCCACCTGAGCGGACCCCCGGGCCTGGGTGTGTGGGCGAAGGGGTCAGTGAGGGCCGGGGGACCTCGGCACGCTGGTCCCTGGGTCCTTTGCTTTCTAGGACTCAGATGTTTAGACCCCAGAACCAGCCCCTTCACCAAGCACCGAGCACCCGCCTCGGTAGAGGTACCGTTTCCCGGGATACAGTTACTACTGGGCGGAGCGCCCCAGCTCTCCTGTTGCTATGGCGACGCGGGTCCCCCAGGATTCTCGCGCCTTGGAGGTGGCTAAGTCAAACTCACGCCCACCCCGGCGCAGCCGCACTAGAGACGGAAGGGGTTAAACCTGAATCGCTGGGGAGGAGGTCAGAACCCAGACGTTCTGGCCCCTCCTCCCTCCATCCCTAGCTCAGCTCCCATTCTTGGGTGCAAAGATGAAGACAAGGCCTGGCTTCAGACCCTGCAGGCCTGACATCAACCCTTGAGGGCCGGAGAGCTATCTCCTGGGTCAGGGAGCGGTGGCTGGAGGCCTAAACTCCTGGGCCCTGGGAGGGCCCAGAGGATGAAAAGGGACCCAGATTCTTGGATCTAAGTGCCTTATTGTTTGGTGGGTCATATGTTCAGGTGGGCAGGGGCTGGGGCTGAGTCACTTAGGTCGAGAGGATCTGAGGGGCTGGATTTCTGGGACCAGGAGCTCTGGGAAAGTCAGTTCCTACGCTGGGGGCGGGGGTGGCTGGGACGACACAAGATGGGAGGCTGGGGCCTGGACTCCTGGGTTCGTGAATGCCTAGCGCCATTAGGGGACCCGGGGCGGGGGGGAGAGGGGTCCACCTGGCTGGAAAGACTGCACTTTCCGCCCTGGACACGTCCGCGTCGGGTCAAGGCCGGGTCCCGCCCCTTCCCCCACCCCCACGGTCCTCACCTCCGCCGCGCCGGGGCTCCCACCGGCCAGGCTCCCGACGGCGAGCTGCGCGCGCAGAAGCAGCAGCAATAGTGGCAGCAACAGCGGCAGCGGCGGCGGGGCCCGGCGGCGGCCCAGACCGCGAATGGCGGGGCTTATGTGCCCCATGTCTGGGCTCTCACGCCCTCACGTCCCCAGCTCTCCCGCCCAGCTCGGCCCGGCCCCAGCGGTGACAGGAGCTCCCAGCACCACGGCCACCTCCTCCCGCCGCCCCTTGGCTGCGCCGGCGCCTCCAGCCCCGCCCCACGCCGGCCCCGCCTTCCTGGCCAGGACAATGGCATGCCCGCTCTGCGCAGGCAGGAGCAGCTCCCGAACGCCACGTGGGAGCCTGCGTCAAGCCCCCACTCCCTTAAGATTCCAGGTGTTCCACCCCATGCCAGGGCTAGCCGGAGGTCTGGGTCATGGGCTCTGGGTTATGGATTTTGTGCCCTTCTTCGGACTCAGACACTCACAAATCAGCTTCCTTCTCTTCCAGGAATTATCAGCATTGAGGACAACACCCACCTCCTCACCCTGCTCCCAACCCCAACCAAATTTCTTCTCTTGAGTTGCCAGAATGTAGTCCTCCAAAGTTTCCCCAATCAAGAACATAGCAGTTGCCACCCGGTCCTCTTCTCCCTCAGATCCAGGAGTCTGGCCCGCAGGAACCTTTCCTATCAGAACCAGAGACCAAGCCCCCAGTCCTTTCCCCCTAAGACCCAAGAGTCCCAGGCCTTCTCTCTGCTTCCCAAGGCTCTCAGCTGTCTGGAACTTTAATTCCTTGCTCAAGGATCCAGACACGAAGTTCCCAGGCCCCCTTTTAAAAGATGACACAAGTCAGGTACTCAGCACCTCAGGACAATCTTTGCTCTAAGGACCAGGGAATTTCTAATTCCCCACCTCTAGCCTCTCCCTCTCAGCCTCCCCTTCAGGGCTTACTGCTTTGTCTCTTGCAATGACAGTGTAGAATCCTGTCTTCCCCAAGCCCAGTGGAGTAGCCCTGTCATGTGTGTGCATCTGTGCATGTATGTTTGTGTAGATGTATATTAAAAGAGCCCAAAGCATTAAGCGGGTAGCAAGGGGCTTAGGTGTGGCTCCTGGTTTTGCTCCTAGAGTCACTTCCGAGCGTAGGGTAGAAGAAGGGCCTTAATGCCAAGAGAATCCTGAAGACAAATTTTAATTTTTTAAATTAAACATATATCTTCTCATCCCCAGATTCCACCCCCACCCCCTCCAGTGAAAATCTCAGCCTGTCACTCTTTGGACCCAATTCTTCCAGGCCGTTAAGGAAGGTGGAAGGGATCAAGATGGTGGCTATCTTGGGTTCCCAAGGAGTGAACTGCCATCTTGGCTTCACTTCCATTGGCTAAGCAGAGTGTGCCTCACGGAGAGCCAGGACAGGGCCTGGTCAGGCCTCTATCTTTTTTTTTAAATATATCTTTATTGATTTCAGAGAGGAAGGAAGAGGGAGAGATAGAAACATCAATAATGAGAGGGAATCATTGATAGGCTGCCACCTGCACATCCCCTACTGGGGATCAAGCCTGCAACCCGGGCATATGCCCTTGACCGAAACTGAACCTGGGACCCTTTAGTCTTCAGATTGACACTCTTCACTGAGCCAAACCAGCTAGGGCTCCATCTTAATCTCCCTATGTTATCTTTCTTCTCAATTCAAGTGCTCATCTTGAAATACCTTCCTTCAGCATCTGGAAACAACTTCTACATCTGCCTCTAACTCCCATCACCCCATCTCTATTCCTCTGTGAAGGGACCATTTGACATCTTGAATCTCTTTTATACAGGGGAATAGGTGGACATAGTGGCCATCTTGCTCCCACTTAGGGCATCCCCTTTGGCTAAGCAAATCGTCCATCAATAACCTAGGCAATAGTAATGATCTGTCACTCTCCTCAATGTTTAGTTTTGGAGGAGTAGGTTCGCTAACTTGCTCTGGTTCTTTAGAAATCAGGACAATCTGTTATGGCAAGTTGAAGATCCCAGCACTTTTGAGTTGGAGAGATGCTACACATGCGTTTGGAGACGAGAGTGGCTGGGTGTGGGGAAAGAAGCATATGGGAAGGGGGGAGTCCTAGGGTCCATATCTGGGGGCCCAAAGGATGTGGGTTTGATGTAGCTGGTAAAAGCTCGAGAATGGGGTGTGGTGAGATAACCTGCCTGGGCTCTATACAGTTTGCAGCGGGGAGGCATGCCTAGGTGTGAGTTGAAGTCATAGAAAGGAGGGGTACCCAGAGGTCCAAGGGTGGGAGAGGGTGGCAGGAAGAGGCCATCTCCAGGGGTTTTGCCAAGGCTCAGGCTCACACTGACTCCTTGGACCTTGTAGTAACCGTTGGTTGGGTCCTGAGGAGACAAATGAGATTTGTGAGTATGTGAAGGTATAGGGGAGTGAGGACCACTGATGGAGATTGAGTCAGACCTAGTGAGAGGCAAAGGATAGAAACAGGAGCAGGCAGAGACAGAGAGACAGATGTATAGACTGGTAGGAAGACAAAGTAAGACAAACACAGTGACAAGAGAGAAGGGAACAGAAAGAGATGGGCAGAAAGAGACAGAGACAGAAGGCTATAGGCCTGCTGAGGGATGGTGGTGTGGAAGGAGGTGCAGAGGGAGCAAGAGAGAGAGAGATTGAGACCAAGATATTTATTCACACATCTGCCCAACAGCCCCATGGCTTTGATTTTGTGTCATGCCCTGTGCAGCTGCTGGATAGACCTGGCCCTGTCCTCATGGAGATACTAGGCCAAAGGAGAAGTGACAGATAACCAGACAGAGCCCAAAGGAGTCAGCACTGTACTGGGGGAAGTAAGGCAGAGCGGTTGGGACTGAAATGATGGGACTTTATGGAGAAGCACAGGCAAGATGATTGGGGTTGTGAGGGGGAACCTTCAGCACAGAGATCAGGCTGTGATGGAGAAGCCTAGATCAGAGTGGTCCTGGCTGTGAGAGGTGAAACATGAACAGAATGATCAGAGCTGGGAGGGGAGGAAGGAAGGAAGAAGGAAGGAAGGAAGGAAGGAAGGAAGGAAGGAAGGAAGGAAGGAAGGAAGAAAGGAAGGAAGAAAGGGAAGATTTTGTAGAACCAGAAATGTATGAATTGAGACTACAGGAATTGAAGGAGAGAATTAAGTAGGTATGGGAAGGAAGTTAGGAGGGGTTTAGGCCAAGAGAATAGCGAAATAGCATGTGCTAGGTACAGAGGAGAAAGAAAAGGGATCCTAAAGGTGGGGCAAGTCTGGGGAGATGTGAGGCAAGTGTGGGACCTGGTAAGTGAAAGGGGCCTAGGGAGGCAACCAAGGTGAGGCAACCAGGAGGCCTGAAACATGAGTATGATAGGGAAAGCACAGACAGAGGGAACCCTGGTCTGGAGCTAAAGATGGAGTGCAAGGCTAGGTCACATATGTGGGCAGAGATAGCAGATAGCAAACGGAGAATGAGGAGGTGGGTGAGACAGCCCAGGAGGCATGAGAAAGAGGACAGAGGGGGCTAGATCCCTGCTCTGTGGGCAGCAGAATAAAAAAGGAAGGGACAGAAGTAGTGAAAGAGTTGGAGACACAGAGAAGGGAGTCCTTTCCCTTCCAACATTCACCTTAGTCTCCAGAGCCCCCTCTTCATCCAGAACCAGGTCACTGCTGTCCATGTGCATGATGGGGCCCTGGAGTAGGGTGCTTAGTGAGAGGGAGTGGCCACAGGATCCTCCTACCCCAGCCAGGGTCTAGGCTCAGGAAAACAATGGGCCCTGGGGACATATTGAATCTAGGGAATAACTTGGTCAGGGGCATATTTGAATCTGGGGGACATTTGGATCTGGGGTCAATGTTGGGACTAGGGCCCAATTTGAGTTTAGGGGACCAGTTAGGACTAGGTTACAATTTGGGTCTAGAGGTACAATTAGGTCTGGGGACCCTGGCTTCCTACCTGGTCCTCACTGCTGCCTGTCTCCTCTTCCTCAGGGCCCCGCAAACTGGACCCATGGCTGCTGCCTGGAATGCGAACCCGGTTCTTTTGCTTGGAGAAAGAGGCTGCGGCCAAGGACAGTGGGTGAGGGGGGGAGAACAGAGGCAGAGATAAGCAATGGGGTAGGGTCACAGTTTGTGGAGACCAATGAGCAGGAAGAGAGAGGACTGAGAGGATTAGGTTAGAAGGTTAGAAACCACTGAGAGCCCTGGTCTGGGAGGGCAAGTAGTAATTGACCTTGAGGAAGTGGAGTTAGGGCTTCAGCAAGGAACCAGGGCCTGAATTTCCACCAGGGGCTAGAGAGGCAGCACTGGGGCCAGGTCCCAAGGCCAGGCTTTTAGGATTCTGTATTTGAGGACCTGTCAGTGAGCAGGGCAAGTGTGTGTGTGTGTGTGTGTTTGGCGGGGGGTGGGGGGGGCGAGTTGAGGGGGTTGGAGTAGAGCTCAGGTACTAACCCTTGCCTTGGCACCAGCACCAGAGGGACACCCCAGTGATGACTATAATGAGAGTCGTGGCCAAGGAGGCCACCCCAGCCACAATCCGCATAGTAGGCAGCACATCTGCAAGGAGAAGAGGGGTGGTCGGAGGAGGAACTGGGGAACAGGACTAGGGCTTGGGTTGGGGTCTCTGGGTTCAAAAGTCACCAGATTTGGAGATACCCAAGATTTATAATACCCTGGGGTTAAGGGCTTATGAAATTGGGGTTTCACAAGTAAACTCCCTGGCTTTAGGGAGTCTTAGAATTTGAGGGATTTTAACTTTGGGGGTTCCCATTTGGGGGGCACCAGAATGTGAGGGGTGTCTCCATTTAGGATTCTGTATTTGAGGTAATTTTATTTGGGGGTATCTCAGGAGTCAAGGGACTTATAGTTTTGAGGCTCTCAAGGTTTAGGGGTCTTTGCATTTGGAGGTCCTCAGTTTGTGAATTGTAGCCTTTGGGGGTTGGGGTCTTCAGGCTTCAGGTCTCACCTCTATGGCCCAGGCTGATCCAGGTATTGCCCTCACCCAACCGGTTACGAGCACTGCAGTTGAAGCCCCGGCTAAAGTCAGACTCCTGGGTTCCCGAAATGTGTAGCACAGAGATCAGGCCTGGACCCTGTCCAACTCGGCCCTCCGGGGCTGGGAACGTCTCCACCAGGAACCGCCCCTGGGAACCCTTCTCCAGGAAGCCCTCATCCCAAGACCAGACCTTGGGACACAAAAGGAGATCAGAGGAGACTGGGGAGGAGGGAGGGAAACAGCCAGGGTGTTGGGAGAGTCAGAGGTAGTCATGCAGTTGTGGGAGTCTGGCTGGGTAGTCAGGGATCATAGCTCGGTGGGTCATGAAAGCAAGGACATTTCCTTACCACGGCTTCTGGGGCGGGGGAGGCGAAGACTAGACACTGGAGGCGGGCGGGGCCCCTCAGAAAGGCAGTCGATGAATGCAGGGCGGTCACTACTGGGGGCGCTTGTTTGGAGATTGTGGTTCAATCAGAGGAGAGGCCCGACCCTCCCAACCAAAGTGTTTCGATAAGGCCAGGCCAGGCACGCCAACCCCAGCCAACCAGGCCACGCCCCTCAACAAACTCCAGGCTCCGCGGAGACTCGCCTTCACCACATCCCACTGGGACCCCAGGCCCGCCTCTACCGAGCTTTCACTCTGAGGCCACACCCACTTCGTCCGCTCTGCCCATCCCAGTCCTTTGGGAAGCACCGTTTTCTCACCGTTCACAGTCAGCCTAACCTCTGCAGCGCCGCCCCCTAGGCCGGAGAGCCCCGCCTCGGCCCTGCACACATAGTCGCCTGCATCCTCTGGCCCCACCGAGGGAAGATGCAGCGTGGGCCCGTAGCCCAGCACCTGGGATATGAAGGGGCGTCAGGGGCAGAACCTTGGGAGGAAGCTCCGTCCACTGCCTGCCACCAGTATTAGCCCCAGACACGGCCTTACCTGTGCACCCCCATGGCGGGTCCAGGTCACCCGTGGGAGCGGGTTCCCGTGCCAGGCACAGCTAAAGGAAGCTTCTTCCCCCTGGTCTACAGACATAGGCTCCGGCTTTGCCTGTAGAATCGGCCCGACTAGAGGAAAGATAAGGTCACATGACCGGGAGGGCTGCAACTTCTGACCTGGGGTCAGCCACTCAGATTTGGCAACCTCGTGCGTGGCTCAGTGTTTGAGCATCGACCAACGGACTAGGAGGTCACAGTTCGATTCCAGGTCAGAGCACATGCCCGGGTTGCAGGCTCGATCCCAGTGGGGGGCATGCAGGAGGCAGCCAATTGATGATTATCTCTCATCATTAATGGTTCTATCTTTCTCTCTCTCCCTCTCCCTTCCTCTCTGAAGTCAATTAAAATATATTTAAAGAAAAAAAATATAAAAAATGTATCTTTATTGTAAAAGTATTACAGATATACCCCCCTTTTTTTCCCTTTGACGACCTCCACCCCACTCCCCCCTATGGGAATATCTTGAAGAGGACTTACCGAGTCAGAGTGAACGTGCGTTTATAATTTTGATGTTATCACCAGGTTGCCCTCCCTCAAGGCAATCCTGAATTAGACCCCTCCCAGCTATGAAAGTATGTTTGGCTGGACTGACCAGCGCAGGTTATACTTTTTGATCCTGGTCATCGTGCTAAATAAAAAACGATATTTCAGTATGGGTTTTGCTTTGCATTAAATTTAAAAATTGCACCAGTTGCCAGAAAGTGAGTGTTCGCACATCCAAGTTTGTGTTTCGTCTCTGTCTTGAAGAGTCAGATGGTCTGTCGTGCTGGGCTGTGTAGGAACAGATCCTGGCAGGAGCTGGGGGTGGCCACTTCCTTCCCACAGTGTGCCCCGTCCCACAGGCCTGGTGTTCATTTTCATTTATTCTCTTATGTTGCTTGCTAGGTTCTGCACATGTCAGCTTGCCAGTCCTTGTCTAGAGAGAAACCGAGTGCAGTGTAGGGGTGCTCAGAGCTGCTGCTTCTTCTCTTTGCGAAGAGCTCAGAGTTGGGTTTTGAAGGGTAAGTAGGTGGGGGCTTCCCGCAGGAAGTCTGGTGTGAATGATCCTTGCAGAGGGGTTGGGAGTAG